ATTCAAACTGTACCTAACAACAGCAATAGCATCCATTGCTGTGTTAACAAATTACTTTAAAATTCAGCAGCTTAACACAACAGACGTTTATCCTCTCCATTTCTGTGGGTTAGTATTGGGGCGTGGATTAGCCTGCTCCTCTGGCTCTGGACCCCTCACAAGTCTGCACTCCAGGTGTCAGCAAGGGCTGGAGTCACGTCAAGATTCAGCTGGGGGAGAACCTGCTTCTAAACACATTCACAGGACTGCTGGCCGTCTTCAGAAGATCCGCTTCCAAACGTACTCACCTCTAAGCATACTGATTGGTGGCCAGAGACATGGCTCCTTTAGATGAGGCTTTCTGCTCCTTTTGAAACCCTATACAGGTTCACTATGACTTGGAACCAACTCAGTGGCACCACCATTACCACAGGGTCATCCCTACTGCATTCAGGAAAAAGCAAAATATAAAGAGGGTGTAAGCCAATTAACAAAAGCATGGGGTCCTGGTGTGGTGCTGTAGATAAGCAGTGGACTGGTAACTGCAAGGTTGGTGCTTCAAACCCACCAGCCGCTCCTCGGAAACTCTCTGTATAGGCTTGCTATGAGCCAGAACCTGCTTGGCGACACTAACAACAACAAAAACATAAAATGCCGAATTAATGTGACTAAAGGGAGTTACATGTTCAACAGGCATCTTACTGTCTCTTCAACAAATGGTGCTGGTAAAACTGGAAATCCATCTGCAGAAGAATGAAACAAGACACGCATCTCACACCATATTCAAAAACAAACTCAACATGGATTAAAGACCTAAATGTAAAACCAAGAATTATAAAGATCATCAGTGAAAAATTAGAGATAAACTTAGGGGCTCTAATACATGGCATGCATACATTATCAGACCTTACAAAAAAGTTCAAGCAGTAGAAAGCAAAATGGATGGTTGGGACCTCTTAAAAACTAGAAAAGTTAAGTACATCCAAAGATTTCACCAAAAGAGTAAAAAGAGAGCTCACAGCCTGGGGAAAATTTTTTGCAATGACATATCAGACAAGAGACTAATATCTAAAATATGTAGAAAACTACACCACCTCTACAAGAAAAAGACAAACAACCCAATTTAAAAATGGGCACAGGACATGAACAGACACTTCACTAAGGAAGACTTTCAGGCAACAAAATATATACATGAAGAAATGTTCATGATAATTAGCCATTATTGTTATTGTTAAGTGCTGTGGAGTTGGTCCCGACCCCTAGCGACCCTGTATAAGGTTTCTGAGGAGCAACTGGTGAGTTTGAACTGCCTACCTTGTAGTTTAAACTGACTTTGCAGTCCCGCGTATTAACCCACAGTGCTACACCAGGACTCCAGTTAGCCATTAGAAAAATACTAATCAAAATAACTATGAGGTATCATCTCCTATCAACATTAACAGCGAAATTCAAAGAAACAGAAAACAAATGCTGGTGATGGTGTGGAGAGACTGGGATCCTCCTACATTGCTGGTGAGACTGTAAAATAGTTAACCACTATGGAGTCTGGAGAATGGTGTAGCAATTCCTCAGAAAATTGAAAATAGAAATAAATACCTTATGACCCAGCAATTCCTCTGCTTGGTATAGATCCACAAGAAACACCAGCCAGGACATGAGATGAATGCAGGCCGATGTGCAGTGCAGTACTATCACAACAGCAAAAAATGGAGACAACCTGAGTGCCCACCGATAGAAGAGTGGATAAGCAAACTGGCATATACACACAATGGAATCCTGTTCAACGTTGAAGAATACTGATGAATCTGCGAAACACTTCATAACATGGAGGACACTATGCTCAATGAAATGAGCCAATCACAAAAAGACAAATACTGTATGAGACGATTATTATAAAAGCTAAAGAAAATGTTTCCAGACTAAAAGAAACATTCTCTGATGGTTACCAGAGGTGGCAGTGTTGTTGTTGTTGTTAAGTGCCGTTGAGTCAGTTCTGACCCATAGCGACCCTGTACAGGGTTTCCGAGGGTGTAAATCTTTACGGGAGTAGAAAGCCTCATCTTTCTCCCGCGGAGCGGCTGGTAGTTTCGAACCGCTGACCTTAAGGTTCACAGCCCGATTTGTAATTCACAGGTTAGAGGGTAGGTACGTTAGCTTGGGTGACAAGGAGGACAATCTACTAGAAGAGGGAGGTTGACAGAAGAATAATGAAGATAGGTGAAGACACAGGGAGGTATGCATGGGCTAAATGGGATAGAGGTAGTGATATATGCCCAACCTTGGAACAACAGTGTTCAGGGTATAGATATATGGACTGAAACATAGGCTGAATGGGTAAAGATGGAAGAGTGAGACATATGTATTTTTATATCCCACAAATATATGAGTTTGAAAGAGAAAAATGAAACATTCTTTGATGGTTTCTTAGGGTGGGCGGGAAGAGAAAGTAGTTCATCAGCTAGAGGGTAGACACATGTTAACTTGGGTGACAGGGAGGACAGCAAACAAGGAAGGGAAGGGCGATATATACAAAGAGGGAGGCTGGCAGAAGTCTGAAGAAGACAGGTGAAGACACAGAGCTAAAGGGCATAGAGGTAAATAGTGCTATGTATACAACCTTGGAACAACAAAACTCTGCAAGTAGAAAGAAAGAAGAAAGTTACCTTAGATTCATGGAACTTACTCTGATAAAATTTTCATGCAAATTACTAAAGTGCTGTGTCTAAGTTTCACTTAGCTTTAGACAATCATCCTGTAATCAGGAAAGAAGCTAAAGCAAAGTCAAGACACACGAAGATCTTACTCATTTATTTGTTGTTAAGTGTCGTTGAGTCGGTTCCGACCCATAGCGACCCTGTACAGGGTTTCCGAGGGTGTAAATCTTTACGGGCGTAGAAAGCCTCATCTTTCTCCCGCGGAGCGGCTGGTAGTTTTGAACCGCTGATAACTCCTGTTTATTTGAACAGGTTCATTAGGAGTTGCTGCTGACTGGATGGTACTTAACAACAATTTTATGTGGGAAGGAAGAGTAGATATAATCTCTCTATACAAGAATTGTAAACTAGTAATTACTACCAGAATTTATATAACATCTGTGTAGCTAGACTTTGCCGATATAGGCATTTACAAGGTCCTTCGTGTTTTGTGTGTGTGTTTACAAGTATGTGGCAAACGTTAACTTTTGCTCTCTAAAGACTTCTCTTGAGAAAGTTTTTTGTTTTGTTTTTTAATTTTCTTTTTTATGGTGATGGTGGGGTGGTATGCCATGGCATCAGTTCTGACTCATAGACACCCTGTATAGGGTTTCTGGGACTAAATCTTCATGGGAGCAGAAAGCCTCATCTTTCTCCCACAGAACTGCTGGTAGTTTCGAACTGCTGACCTTGAAGTTAGCAGTCTGATTCGTAACCACTACACTACCAGAGCTCTTTTTCTTTAATAGTATTACCACTAAAAACATCAAAGGTAGGTTGTTGTGTTGCCAAGTAGAGTTTTAAAGAGTATCTATGACTACACAAATGAAAGTAAGTTTTAAATTTAAAATCTTTTCAATTAGAGATGTTAGAATAGAGATATGAAACCCACCTTCCAGATGGACTTTCTCCCATTGTAGGAGAGGTGTTCTGTTAGGCCAAAGGAAGGAAAGCTGATTTTGTTGATTTTTACCTCAAGGGTTGATATGGTCACCCTTTTAGGTTAAGAGTGCCCAAGTAGTGAGTTGGGTTTTCAGTCTGTGGCCCCAAGCCTTCTGGGGGTAAGGCACAGCTAGCAGAAATGGGCTGGCTCTGGATGGAAACAGAGCTCAGGATTAGAGATCAAGGTTGAAGGGCATGTGCAGTGAAAGGTACCACTAGACCTGTGAGAGAGGAAGTACAAGGGGAGAGATAGATACCAAATGTTGAGACCAATCTTCAGAACTGATTATGGAGTTAGAAGAACTAGTGAGGAAGACTGAAAGGAGTAGTGAGAGAAAGGTGAGTTCTTACCCAAAGTGCTGTAGTGCTACTGAAATCAGAGAATTGTGATAGAGGTAAGAAGTCCCAGTAGCATAGAAAGATCAAGGTCAAGTGGCTTAGGCTTGGAAGTGAAGCTTGTGCTGGTAGCAATGTTAGTGAGGGGCCTTTTTTTGTTTTTTAATGTAACACTTAGAGGAAACTTTGAAGCCACTTCAGGTTAGGAAAAATCATTAATATAAGATCATTGATATGTGAATTGTAAGGTCTTCTTACAGCTGGCAACTCCAAGTCAACACATTGTTAGCCTAAATTGAGTTACAGAATATATCTAAAAGTAATAAGGCCCCATTTTGTCTCATTCATAATGTAAATGATTTAAAGTGTTTTTCTTCCTAAACTGTGGGATTTTAATTGCATTTTCAGATAATAAAATGACAGTTCATGCAATTTGAAATTCAGACAGCCTTGCTCAAGAAACATTTATGATGTCATAAGATTCAGAAAAATTATAATTAGCTAAGAAGTGCATCTAATTGAATTTGTCAGAAATTCACTGCACACCCGTATGTGCAGACCGTGCTAGTTGCTGAGGGTAGAAAGAGCTGTAGAAAGTGTGGCCCCTGTCCTCTTGTTGTTGCTGTTCAGTCAGCTCTGGCTCATATTGAACCTGGATAGGGTTTCCTACAGTGCCTGGTGGGTTTGAACTGCTGATCCTGTGGTTAGCAATCCAGTTGCTGATCCTACAGTGCCACATCAGCACCAACTCAAAGAGCCTCATAAGAGAGAAAAATTATCAGAGAGTGGTACATACAGCGTTAAAAGCAGGAAAGAGGAGAGGACTGTGGTTAGGAAAGGCCTCCAAGAAGAGGTCGCCCCTGAGCAAGGTTTTGAACTGGCATCCTCCAGAGGACAGCAGGGTTGGTTGGTTGGAACCACTGCTGAGGAAGAAGTGTGGTGGGTTAGGCACTGGAGAGGTAGGCAGGTATGAAATTGTGGATGACCTTCCTTACCAAATCCAAGGGGCATGTGGTTCTTTTGGCAGGCTAATCTTTCTCTCTCCTGCAGACCATGATAAAATGTCTTGAGGCTGAAGGAGGACACTCAGCATTCCAAAGAATCCTGGGTAAAGTGAGAGAGGAGAGCATGGCTGTTCAGACTGTCATGTCCCTGTTGAGGCTGTACCAAGATTCTCATCCTGCAGTGAAGTCAGCACTATCAGGCCAAAAGCTGGAAGATGTAGAGGCAGTGCAGCCAAAAGGTAAGTGAGAAGCCCAGCCACCTGGGAAGATGCTGTAAAGTGTATCCAGTAACACATTTCTTTAGTGGCTTAGCCAGTCAGCTAGTTTTCACACCTGTTCTATATTTAATTCAAAAAGCTACATGTTAAATATATACAAACTAAATTTGCGTCTCCATCCCTACCCCTAGCTAACTAGTCTGATATCTGGAAGTTGGAGAACACCAGCCTTGTTCTTCTGCCCATGAGAAAACCACACAGCCATCAACACCAGAGTGCCCAGGGTGAGGTGGTTTGCTGACAGCACACAGAGGCTGCCGTTCCTCTCATTGGGGTTAGGCACAAAGCAGTGGCCTTGCCAACCAGACGTTAACCTCTCGCGGGCTCTGCAGCTTTGTGTTTCCACAGATAAATGAAACACTTTTTCCTTTCATAGAGTTTAAACAGAATAATAAAGTATTTTCCTCTGCTAAAAGAGAGTCTGCATTCGGGTACTCAGAATAAGCTGAGAATCGCTTTACTATTCTGTTAGATCTCTCTTGACAAACCACGCTGTCATTTTCTTCAAATTGACTAGCTTCTCTTGTGCGTCTCTAACTCTTTCTCCCCCAGGGAGCACAGAGGAGGGAAAGACCTTGTCTGTTCTGTTACTGGAACACAAAGAGGCCCTGATACAGTGTGTAACACAGCTGAGACCTATTGTGGAGTTCCTGGAGACAGCCAAGGAAGAAATCCTGACTGATGCTGAGAAGAGGGTAAAATAGTTTCCCTTTCTGAACTCAAATAGCACTTTTTTCAAAAAACAAAAAAAAACCTCTTTTGTAGCACATAAGGAATCCTGGTAATACAAATGGCTAAGCACTTGACTGCTAATCGAAAGGTTAGCAGTTCAAAACCCACCAGCTGCTCCACAGGAGACAGATGGTACTGTCCACTTCCATAAAGATTTACAGCCTTGGAAACCCTATGGGGCAGTTCTGTGCTGTCTATAGGGTCATTGTGAGTTGAAATGGACTCATTGGCAGTGAGTGTGGGTTTTGTGTGTGTGTGTGGCATGTGGCACTTTTTAACCTTGCAGTGTTTTTATCTGTGCATATTCAGCACGGCAGAGTTAGGATTCTCATTCATGCCTCTTTGAATCCCTTGCAGCAGCTTGCTGGAGGCCTTCCCCACTGGAGCCATACAGTAAATATTTGGGCAGACAGATGGATGGATGAAGGGTAACTGTGATATTCCTGCCCTGTCTCAATAAGCTTTTACTGTAAAACAGCTGCACCAAAAATTAAAATGTTAAAACACATTTGTAGTTACTATGACACTTGTTACAAAAATGGGATGCTGCTCATCTGCAGAAAATTTGGGACTAAGCTAAAAGGAAACAAAACTTCAGACCTCTCATGATCTCACCACTGAGACGGTCACTGCCACTGTTTTGGAGCTCCAAAAGAATGACTCATCTCAGTCATCCTAAAGTCCCTGGAACATGCCGTTTTGTATTTCATAGATTCTGAATATGTTTTCCCATCTATCAAATGGATGTGTAGTTGTACTGTATTCTGTCTAATGGATGCATCATGATTCATTATTTCTTTATTGTTGGGCACTTCTTTCCAAATTTTTGCTATTATAAATTTCCTTGTAGAGGACATCTTTGCACACAAATCTTTGTGTACTTCTCAAATTATTTCCTTAGAATACTTTCTAAGAAGTAGAATTTTGGGATAGAAAGTATAAACATTTTCCAGTGTTTGGTACATCTTGCCAAATTGCCCTTCAGGAAAGTTGTACCAATTTTCTCTCCCACTAGCTAGCTCCTAAAATCCCCTAAAACGGCTGCCATGACTTCCCAAAGCAACTGGATAACTGTATTTGGTGGTGTTATTGATTTCAACTTTGTGCTAAAAATATTTTTATATCTGGAAGGAAGGAATAGGGGTAGAGAAATTTTGTGGCATCAATTCTTTAAACTGTAAGAAGTGGCTAAAATTTTAGGGGGAAAAAATGTTCAGAACCCATTGATGTAATGGCCAAGCACTGGATTGATGGTGAACACTGGAGCCTAGGGGTTCTGTTTCTCAGTGTTATTAGATTGCTATTTTTCCCCTATAAAATCGGAACAGCCTTTAATTTCAAAGTTCTATTTTGCAAATTAGTTATGTTTTTAAAATTGTAAATTACTGAAACTTCTTAGCGAAAGACAGTATCAAAATAAGATTAAACCTCTGTTTTCTCTTTAGCCTTCAAATTAAGTATAATTGGCAATGTTCCATTTAAGTAACTTGTGCATCGTTCTAGACCCACCTGATTCTCTGTTTAGTGATTGCATTCGATTACTTGTTCAGACCTTTTCCTTATGAGCTAGATTGTGTCCTTTGAACTGCTTCATTTTCTTTGTAAAACATCATTTATAGGGAGAGCCCAAACTCAGCCTCATTTTCTGCTGTAAGACAGACCACGCTGTCATTTTCTTCTGTCACTTTCAGTTTACTTGACAGAAAGGGCTGAAGCAGAAAAACTCAAATTAGTTGTAAATAAATAAAAAAAAACCACTTCTTAGGATTGGATTCTACCATAACTTCATTAAACTACGCCTTCTCACTGAAACTGGAGTAAAATACTAAGGTGGGGGTGTGGAGAGGTGAAGTTGCCTCAGTAGCCACACTGTTGGCAGGATATGAAACATGGAGCTCTCTTAGAATATTCTTCTGTTGTGAACGAATACTAATCACGGTTCCATGACCCTTCTCTAGAAAGACTTGGGTGCTGTATGAAGCAGTAACTAGAAATGTCATTAAGATTAGAGACAGATACAAAAATAGTTATATCTACCGGTTTTTTTTTGTTATTGTTTATTATGTGCCAAGCAGTGTGCTGAGAATCTTAAACATTACTGAATTTAATCCTCATAGCAACTGTATGAAGATCACCCAAATGTTAAAATGCAGAAAAAGAAGCTTGACGAATGTAAGCCATTTACCCAAAGTCCCCCAGTTGCCTAGGGGTGGATTCGGTACTTGGACTCAGACTTCTGATCAAAGCACACTCTCTTGACCACCATGCACACTGCCTCCCTGTAATATCCATAACCATGGTCATTTCACTCAAGATTACAGCACCTAAGAGTGATGCTGGTGGTGGTTGTCTATCATAGAGTCGGTTCTGACTCATAGTGATGCCGTATAGGGTTTCTCAGGCGGTCAATCTTTACAGGTGGAGAAAGCCTCATCTTCTGCAGAGTGACTGGTAGATTTGAACTGCTGACCTTGTAATTAGCAACCCAACTTGTAACCCACTACACTACCAGGGCTAGGCTCTACAAATTGCAACCTCGTTCTTCCAGAATCCTGTGCAGTACAATGCAAAAATTGGTATTATTATCTTTTTCAGATGAAGAAACTAAGGTTTAAAAAGTAAGCAACTTGCCCAAGATCACACTGGGATACACTTTAGAACTGGGTTCAAATTAGGTTGGTCTGGATCTAAAGAGTCTGAAGACTTGCTCTTAACAGGATCTGGCTGCCTCACTGCATCAGGTTACTGCTTACGAACTCCAGATTTAGCAGTGTGATTTTTAGATACAAGCTCTGAAAATTCAAATTATGATTCATCCAGTAGCAATCTAGTATATATGAAGGGGCTTCAAAAAGTCTGTGGGAAAAAAATGGAATTAAAAGATAACAGTGAAATTTTCCCACAAACTTTTTAAAGCCCCCCCTATATACATAATATAGCTCTTCCTTTTTCATAGATTAAAAAAAAAAAAAAAATGGTTTCCAAGCTAGATGTATTATTCTAAAAGTGGGAGTTAATTTGGTAATGACAGTCTCTGGCATGCTACCCTGACTGATACACTCAAATGCTTCTCCTGAGAACTGGCGTCTTCCCAAAGGGAAGCTCAAAATTCAGTTACTATGAAGCTGTAGATTATATATATTGAAAGAATCCCCTGTTTTATCAGTTCCCTAAGAGCCAAGTTATGCATATTGAGTTAGAGTCTATTAAGAGTTCTGTTGTAATGGGAACATATCTGTAAAATATCTATTGTGTGTTTTATTTTTTTAACTGTTTTTGCTGAAGCCTTGAACCACGGTGACTCAGAAAACCCTCTAGCACACAAAGGAAGAGAGGAGGGGAGTGAAATTGTTGCAGGATGACTGGAATGGATGTATATGGCCATTGAGAATGAGAGGGACTTACAATAAAGAATCCACAACAAAAATAATCCAGAACTGTGCTTTAAATGTATTGCTTTGGAAGCCACGGACTAATGTGTACATTAACTAGGTATTCAAATGGTTATGCACATAAAGTAAATAGAAGTAGGATAATAGAACTGTTCTAAAATTGCAGCCTACCCCAATGTTATATCCTAAGCAGAATTGAAAACACTCTATATTAATTAATTCCCAAAATGAGGTCTCAATTTGAGTCTGAACTAAATCGAAAGAATCAGATGTAATGTATTTACTCACTGCCTCATACAGGCTTACTGTAAAAAGATTTTCACAAAATGCAAGCTGTTGGAGGCAGAAAATGTATGCATAGACCTGTGATCAAGAAAGAAAGATCACCCTAGGGTTATTTGTTTGGAGAATGTCTTAGGTTTTTATTAAGACACCCTCAGGAAGAGTCTATGAGAAAAGTAACACTAGAGACTAACAGAAGAAGGTTTGGAGCCAGAGCATCTTATAATCCCATCTTGCTGGGTTTTCCAGTGGTGTGTCAGATAAGTTTAGAATTGCCCAGTAACTGTGTCTGCTTGATTGCTTGCCACTGCAGGTGATTCTGAATTGCTGTGAGAGTGGAACACCCAAGGAGACAGTAGAAAATTTGTTGTACAGAGTGACTAAAGAGAAGACCCTGACTGCTGAGAGTTTGGTAAAACTCCTTCAGGCTCTGAGGACAACATTTCCACCCTTGGGCCTTCTGCTGGAGAAATTGCAGAAATTAGCCACTTTGCCAAGCACCACAGGTATTCATTAATTGTTGACTCTCCGTACTGGAACCACTGCTACAGAAAATTATAGCTTAAAACACCCTTCTGTCTATGCTGAGGAAAGAAAGTAGTGTTCAGAAATGTCATTGCAAAATAGAAAGTTATTGTTGTCAGATGCTTTCAGGTCGGTTCCGACTCATAGCAACCTTATGTTCAGCAGAATGAAACACTGCCAGTTCACCTCGTCTTCTCTTTTTCACCGACCCTCTGCCAAGCATGATGCCTTTCTCCAGAGTCTGGTCCCTCATAATAATATGTCCAAAGTCAATGGAATGAAGCTCCACTGTCCTAGCTTCCAAGGAGCATTCTGACTACACTTTTTCCAAGACCTGTTTATTCTTTCTTCTGGCAGTCCATGGCATATTTAGTATGCTTCATCAACACCATAATTCAAAGGGATCAATTCTTCTTCCATCTTCCTTATTCATGGTCCAACTTTTGCGTGCATATAAAGCAATTTGGAAAATACTATGAGTTGGATCAGGCATACCTTAGTCCTCAAAGTAACAACCTTGCTTTTTTAACATTTTAAAGAGGTAAGAGATCTTTTCAGCAGATTTGCCCAATGCAATGAATATATCATTTGATTTTTTGAGTGCTGCTTCTATGGGCATTGATTGTGGGTTCAAGTAAAATGAAATCCTTGACAACTTCAGTATTTTCTGCTTGTCATGATATTGCTTATTGGTCTAGTTAATGAGAATTTTTGGTTCTCTTTATTTTGAGGTGTAGCCCGTACATAAGGTTGTAGTCTATGATCTTCATCATTAAATACTTCAAGTCCTCTTCCCTTTCAACAAGCAAAGTTTTGTCATCTGCATATCAAAGTTGTTAATGAGTCTTCCTCCAATTCTAGCATATGAGCAATTGATGGTCTGTTCCATTGTCTGCCTCTAGCCTTGTTCTGACTGATGCTATGGAGTTTCTCTGTCCTGTCTTTCCACAGGTGCAGTTGATTTCATTTCTGTGTAGTCCATCTGGCGAGGTCCATATGTATAGTCAACATTTATTTTATTGAAATAAGATATTTGTAATGAATAAGTCATTGGTTTTGCAAAATTCTATCATGCAACTTCTGGTATCGTTTCTATCACCAAGGCCATATTATTCCAATTATTGATCCTTCTTTGTTTCCACCATTCACATTTTAGTCACTAATAACTATCAATACATTGTGATTACACGTTTGATAAATTTCAGATTGCAGAAGTTGGTAAAATTTCTTCATCTTTGATATTTGTGTTTGGTACATTAATTTGAATAATAGTTGTATTAACTGGACTTCATGGTAAGCATGAGTATTATCCTATCACTAACTCTACAGTATGACAGACTGACAGACAAGAGGTAGAGACAGGAGTTAGTTGTCACAGATTGATGATTTGCAGTATTTCTGGAGTTACATGTGAAATCTGAGACTTGCCCTTCTCCATTAAGCTGATCTCTTAGGTGTTCTTATGATTCAGAGTTTGTTAATGCATGGCTTTCCCAGGGCTGTCAGGTGTCTTCTGTGAATGCCTGAGGAGCACAAGGGCTCGGCATACAGCCAGAGAACTCAGCATTGTGACAAGCTCAGTGGAGAAAGATGAGCAGCCAGGACTCAAACCTCAAGCACCCCATTTCCCTTTGAGTGCCTGGAATTAACTATCCCTTCATGTTCCATTCATCTTGGGAAAAATGGGTTCCCAGTCTTATTCCTTAGAAAGACAATTCAACTTTCACAGTTTTTCTCTATCCCAGAACATTTGCAGTTAAGAAAGTTTTCAAAAAAAAGTATATTTAGGAAGTAAGGGAACTTTTTTCTAGCTTATGAAAGTAATGAATCCATTAGCATTCCAAAAGGAAAAGAAAAGCAACCTAAAATCTAACATTCAAATTTATCAGTAGTAATACATTGCCATATTTGACCTGTCACGTTAGTTTTTCAAGGTTGAGATATTCTATTTTATAATTTCCTCCATTTAATAGTATATTACAAATAGTCTATCTCATATTAAAAAACAAAACAAAACAAAACCCCACTCTACAGTCGTAGCTATTGATGGCTGTGCACCTTTTCCCTCATAAATATGTATATTGTTGTTAAGTGCCATAGAGTCAATTCACACAGGGTTCCCAAGGCTTTAAGTCTGCATGGGAGCAGAATATGACAATTATTTTCTTATTTGGAGGGCAGATGGCTTTAGTGTCAAGGTGTGCATCTTGACCCTGTGATTTAGCTGTGTGACCATAAGCAAGTGACTTAACTTTCTGAACTTCATTTTCTCTGTTGTGAAATGAGGTTAATAATAATGGTACCTGTCATGTTTGTTTTCACCTTGTCCTGGGTCGCTGTGAGTCAGAACTGGCCTCTGTGGGATCATACTTGTAAAGCATGTAGCACAGTGTCTGATACATGGTTGGCGCTCAATAAATATTATATGTGGTCATCTTTATCATCTTCACAAATTACACAGTGGCAATTAATTATCTTTGTACAGAGACTTTTTTCTTCAGATAATTTCTGAGGGCCAGAAATTACTGGGCCAAAGAGGAGAACAAATTTTTAAATATCTGCTAAGCTGTAGGAAATGCCTGATAGTTTTGATTTTTTTCTCTTCAGATAAATATGACCCCTTAAAAGAAACAGGCTTAGGTTGGTTCAGAGGACATGTAGACAACAGACCGTGACTTAAGCCACAGGCTTGACTCCCACCTGCTTGCATTTGGTATTTCCAGATGGATCCTTTACCTCAGGCTTGATGCATGCCACCCTTGAATTTGGATATGTGAGTCTTCAACCAGTGCAGCCTTCTAATTACCCCATGTTGAGTAGTCACTGGCTTCTACCACTGGCACTAACTTTCATCGTGATGGTAGTCTGTGGTCCTGAAGCAGTAAGTGATCACGTGCGGACCAAAGACGATCAGGCCAGATCCAAACACACGTGTATGGGGCCTTGAGCTGGGTGTGGAGCTCCACTCTCCAGAGGGGGCAGAGGCTTGTGCTACTACCTCTTCTTTCATCTGTAACACCCCCTAGTCTCATGTAGAAGAAGCCTCACAGAGGCTTTGCTGTTTCGAGCATAATTGTTTTGCTAATTTTCTTCTAGTCCAACCAAGTACTGATGATTATGGGACTGAGCTATTGAGAAGGTATCATGAAAACCTCGCTGAGATTTTCACAGATAACCAGATGTTACTAAAGGTGATCTCGCACACGAAGAGCTTAGCCCCTGGAGAAAGAGAGGTAAGAGATGGAGGGAGGGCAAAATGAGAGAGAAAGGGAAAAAACTATAAATATATATATAGTACATTTGTATATTTATACCTTATATAATATAGATACTACACAGCTGTGTTACATAATGCTGTTAGCATGTCTAGTGTCCATAGAGAAGGAGGAAAGGAAGGTAACTCGATTTCTCAGGCCAGAGTAACTAGCAGGATAGTTGCAATTTCTGTAGCAACAAGTAAAGAGCTCATAAAGGTGGAACTAAGAACATTCTTTATCATGTATAAGAAACCTCTCTAATTGAGAGAGGTCTTGTGAGAAAGTGAAGGGTGTCGAAAAATTCCTTCCCGGAAATCCATTCTCTGTAACCCAGTACCCAGACTTTCAGCTCTGTGGTGGGGCTAGTGGCTAGAGAGTCCATTATGTGTGTGTTTGTGCTGCATTTTGAAGGTCATGGAGAAGCTTGTGAAACGTGACCCTGGAGGCTTCAGTTCTCTGATCTCAGCAGTTCTAGAAAAGCAGACACTCTCTTCAACAGCTATTTGGCAACTGCTGCTGGTGGCTCAGGAGACAAAGACCTGCCCATTGAACTTGCTCATAGAGGAAATACAGAAGGAGCCTGGTGCCGGTGCTTTCTTCCGGGCTGGTGAGTTACCCAACCTCTGCCATGGTTTAGCAGCACTAGAGATTAGTGTCAGTCTTCCCAACAAAGAGAAAGAGTTCTCTTATTCCTGCCCTCAGAGAGGCCAAGTAAGGACTGGAAGGTTCTGTTCAAGGACACTGGGTTGCTAAACCTGTAAGAAAACCTACATCTAATACTTATTGGAAGCATAAATGAATTCATAGTCTCTGATTACGGCCCAGTTGGCCATTTTGGGCCTGCCCACTGCAGTTAGGACATATAAGTGAAGTGTGTTCTCATCATGAAGACTTGAGTTGAAAAAAAGAAGGGAGAAGCTGGTGCTCGTGGTTTTACTAATTAATTTTCCTTCTCCCTTTTTTCCAGTGACCACACCAGAAAGTATTGCCCTAGAGATAATCATGAGGCATAAGAGATTGGTCCTAGAGGCCATCCAACAAAAGATTGACCTGAAGTCTTTTGTCTCAGCGGAAGAGCAGCTGGCTGAGACTGTGAAAGAGGTGGGGTTAGGAGTAAAATCAAGTTGCATTTTAGAATTTTTTGTGATGTATGGGACTATCTTCATTCCTAAGGGAGGAGTTAACATCTGTAGAGTATCTGGCTCACTCGTGCCTATCCCTGAGCTAAGCCAAGCACTCTGACTCTTCTGCTTCTTTGTTGTCAACTCTGAGTGGTAGGTGATGCCACCTGCATTTAACATATAAGGAAATTCAGGTTCCCAGAGATTAAGTGACATTAATCTCCTGGAGCCTCACCAGGATTTGAACCCAGGACCATGTGACTCAATTTTAGCGTTCTTCTATTAGTCTAAGCTAAGTAAATCTCCAGGAAACTCTGATACTGTTCTCTAACATGTTTTAAGAGGGGACTTCTTTCAGATAAAGGAAAGTGAAATGGGTCCTATGACATGCTCTATTCTGTCTCCTAGAAAGAGCCAAGATAAACATAGCTAGAACAAAGTGTGTGCCCATATGGGGTGGCAAATAGTGCCAACTCATTCTGTAAGTCTACTCAGAATGTGGCCAGCATCCCAGAAAAACCAGGTGGGGATGGAGGAGGTTGGGGGGGATTCATGGATGTCCAGCCCAGGATTGTGGGCATCTTGAGTGGGAGAGAATTACAAGGGATCATAAAGTTAAACCACCAAGATCCAAGTAGCCATGGAAGAGGCTCCTAACCGTGTCCACACAGGCGCCAACCCCACCTGAGTGACTCTCAGATGGGAAGAAGATGGCAAACATTTCTGTGGGACTTCAGGGGAGACATTCGTCTGCTGGGCTCTCTCCAGCACACCATGTACTTCAGAGATGGGGTTTCTGCAGTTGATCAGTTCTCGCCTGGCTAATTAATTAGTCTCATGCCTGCCTCCAGGGACATCAGGTTTATTTAGATAGACTTGAAAAGAGCAGAAATAAAATATCTTCCAAAATGAAAATTCCATGCGGCCATCTGTGAATGGTTTTGCTTTATTTTCTCAGTGTACTGACTCTTTCTGCTGATGGCTCTTAACATTCTGAAAGAGGACAGCTTTGAAATAATATTCCGGGCCCCTTTAAAACCTGTATTTGAGCCTTCTTTAGAAAGCTGAGTTTCTTTATGAAAGAAAATGGTGTTTAAAGGGATACATCTAAGTGTCTAAAAATATGAAGCCACTGATGATGCAGAATTACTTCCAGACATTGAGACAATGATATAGTATGATAAATTATATGGATCTTCAAGACAAAAAAAGTTTAAGCTTACCAGTTTGTATCATTAAGATCTAGCAAAATTCTTTGGAAGACTCTTGGTCTCTGAGGAGGTAGTACTCCTAGAAAATGCTCAGTGCGTCCTTGCATGCCCCTTCTCTCTTGTTGACATAGGTCTGATACCTGGCTTCTGTTTTATTCTGTTAATTTCCCTTTTCTTTGGAAAACAGGGGTCCCCTGCTACATTTGTCGTGAGAAGGGATGTAAAGTACTTGTAGAAGAGCACTGCCTTCTGTGTTTTGTGTTTTTAAGTTGATAACCATGGAGAAACTCTGCCCCCAACCTTTGTCTCCTGGTGTTCATTTAGATTCTGAACATTTCCTCTGAGACAGCCAGCCCTGAAGCTTCCCTGAGAGCAGCGCTGAGCAGAGCCATGGAAAAATCCGTCTCGGCCATTGAAATCTGTCACCTCCTGTGCAACGTCCACCAATCATTTCCAGGCCTGCAGCCTGTTATGGAGGGCTTAGCACACACGGGTAAGAAGCAAGCTGGGGAAAGGGGGAGCCCTATCAGGCACCCAGGCTCTTTCCTTATTGGAGGGAGGGAGGAAGCGGAAGTTTCTCTAAGTGTTCACTGCTGTTGTAAATTGTTCATTCATTTTACATGCTCTCAATACCTAGAAAAGTTTTAGGAGTATAGATGTAAAATAATGCTAATTGTGTTTATATGAGGAAGTAAAGATGATAATGAAATTACATTATAGTTTTGTTTTTGTTTTTTTAGGATTCCAAGTAGTCTCCAATCTCCTCCCAGAAATTGTGTGCCTTAGAAAAGTTCTAAAGTCAAGTAGAAACATAGGGTAGTGCCAGAACCATAATCTCTCTCTCTCCTGTGCAGGTTTCCTCACTGAAGAAGGTGGCCAGATGGGAAGGTGGAAAGTTAGTAATGCATTTCACCTTAAAGCCTGTGGTAAAGCGGATGGACAGGCAGCCACGCCAGTCGAAGAAGACTGCCTGTCTGGGGAACGCAACGACGAGGGGGAAACGGACCCATTGCCTGAGCAAGAGGACACTTCTGCCTCGCCAGACTCTGCCAAGAAGAGCTTCATCTGTAAGGCCTGTGACAAAAGCTTCCATTTCTACTGCCGCCTAAAGGTGCACATGAAGCGCTGCCGCGTGGCCAAGAGCAAAGAGGCACAGTGTAAGGACTGCAGCGAGACCAAGGATACCAGGAAGGAGCTGGAGAAACACCAGCTGGAGGCCCACGGTGCAGCCGGCAATGAGCCCAACGCTCCCAAGAAGAAGAAGAAGAGGCTTCCAGTGACGTGTGACCTCTGCGGCCGAGAATTTGCTCATGCCTCAGGTACGTTCTCACAGGCAGAGTAGCAGAGAAAGGCGTTCTGGAAGCTATCATTTGGATTCCAGACCCTGTCCCTGGTTGTGTTTAGTCACTCGGCATGTGGGTGTCTGAGGAGACAGAACAGGGAAGAATTTGGGGAGAATACAAGGTGTGGAATCCTTCATTTCCCCATCAGTTAAACAGGCCTATGATCCTACCTACTTGATTGGGATGTTAGAAGATGTAAAAGTGTATCATTAAACCCCTAGTGCATTGCCACAGAGCGTTAGCTAGGACTGAACAAATTGTAGCTGCTATTATTCATAATACTGATAACCAACTATTTAACACCTGACTCTCTGTACCATTTATTTCTTGGTAATAAATAAAGTCTCTAGACAGTCTTAGATGGAGAGTCAGATATTATTTCCCCCATGCCCCAGATGTTGGGTAGGCCTAATGGAACATAAAAACGAGACTTGTTTCACTATTTCTGGGTGGCTTGATCTTATTTAAGAGTGAGAGGGGACAGGGAAGTTAGACCCAGAATCACTTCATGCCTGATCCAACCAGGAATGGGACTGAAGTGACTTTGGGATGCTCGCTGCTGGGCAGTGATGATGGAGCTAGTCTGGCCTGGCTCTGGTGTCTTCCTCTGGAGCCCTCGCCGGAAACAGTGTTGCTATGTAGCCTCATGCTGGTTCATAGCATGAATTACTCTTGTCTCTTCTGGTCCCTGGCATGGCTTCTGTAGGCATGCAGTACCACAAACTGACAGAGCACTTTGATGAGAAGCCTTTCTCCTGTGAAGAGTGTGGGGCAAAATTTGCAGCCAATTCTACCTTGAAGAACCACCTTCGCCTTCACACGGGGGACCGCCCGTTCATGTGCAAACACTGCCTCATGACCTTCACCCAAGCCTCGGCCCTGGCCTACCACACCAAGAAGAAGCACTCAGAAGGTCAGGCTTGGAAAACCGCTTTGATTTACTGCAAACTAACTCTGTACGCTACCTCAAAACCCATTTGGAATTAGATGTGATTAGTATCTCAAGGGGCCTTGGTGGTACAACAGTTAAGTGTGCTACTAACCGAAATGTTGGTGGTTCAAATCCACCCAGTGGCTCCACAGGAGACAGACCAGCAGAAGATCTGATTTATATTTAAAAGCTGATTCTGGCCACTCTGAATTATCATCTGTAATAAGGCCGAGTATGATACCACAAGGAGGACAGTAGGCAGACTTGCAGTGGGCCAGTCTGGGGACCTGGGAGCCCTTAATGAGAGGTGTGTTAGTGGAGGTCGTCAGAAACAGTTAAGTGTGGGGACTTTGAAGAAGTCATCTCTACTGAACACAGGTGGCCAGGCACTCCAGGTTCATAGTGGGGTACAGGTCTGGAAGGGGAAGCCGACAGCACTGATGGGAGTAGATGTGGAATGGGAGGGAAGGAGATAAATTAAGAATGGTTTGGGGGTTACGCACTGGAACGCTAACTGAAAAGTCAACCATTTGGTCTTCTTCCTCCGAAAGCCTGAGGGGACCGTTCTACCCTGTCCTATGGGGCTGCTATGAGTCTCAGTCGACTTGATGGCAGTAGAGTTGGGGCATTTGGCCTGAACAGCTGGCTGAGTGCATGATGCTGCCATTGACTGAGGTGGGAGACCTTGGTGAGTGTGTGTGTAGTGTGTGTGCTGTGACGGTGGAGAATCAGGAGGTCAGTTTGGGATGGGATACATTAGTGGTCCCTTGTAGACCTCCAAGTGGGGAGGAGAGTAATAGAAATTGGATGCTGAGTCTAGAGAGTTCTGGGGAAAGGTAGAAGATGCACATCAAATGTGGGCACTGTCCTCATACAGATGGTATATGAGATCATATCATCTAGAAAGTGGGGGTGGAGAAGACAGCCAAGAGCTGGGCACCAGATTTCTCAACAATGTCACCTTTAAACACAAGAAGCGCTCTTTTTCTAACAAAATCTTATTTCTGAGTCTGTGAACCCTGACCCTGTGGCCAATGGCTCAGTTTTCAGGAGGCCTAGGAATCAGGGCCTTTGGAAGCTCACTGTCCACTGCTCCCTCACTTCCTCCACGGCCTCCATTGGAGACTTGGAAGCACTTTGTGCAAAATGTTCTGTCCACTTCCTATAGCCTTGTGTTTTCTCTGGCCGTCTGGTCATGATATTCTCATTATGTCCAGGAAGAAGTAGAGAAACCAGTGATATGTAATAACTTGAAACAGTCACTGAATAAAGACTTTTCATGCATTTCTGAAGCCACACCTCTGACCTTTGGTGTGGTTACTCTCCGCTCTGTGTTACATGGAGATCCAACGCCCATGTTTCCAGAACCAAGGGTGTGCTTGTTGCCTGTGGGTGCAATGAGCCCTTCCCATACTTGTGGTCTGATTGACATATGGGTTACCATGTGTACGAAACCTCTACCCGTACTTCTCACAGTGGAAAAACCACACTCACATCCTGTCTGTGTGCTCAGTTGTGATTGGGAGGTGCCATCTGCCCAGATGCTCTACAAATTGCCTGTTGTTCTAATGTTGTCTTCCAGATGCTGTTTCCCTGATACTTGCCCTAGACTGTGGTTTGGTTTGGGGAATGCTGTGCATGTTTAGTTCTGGCTCTGATAAGCTCATGTGTGTTTCCAGGAAAAATGTACGCATGCCAGTACTGTGATGCTGTGTTTGCCCAGTCCATTGAGTTGTCTCGCCATGTGAGGACCCACACTGGGGACAAGCCATATGTCTGCAGGGACTGTGGCAAGGGCTTCCGGCAAGCCAACGGCCTCTCCATCCACCTGCATACCTTTCACAGTAAGTACTGCATACCTTCCACAGATTGTGCCTGTCAGGCATTCATCACCAGGTCTGGCTGTGAGGCAGGAGAGTGGTCAGGGCACAGGATGTCCTCCCCCACAGCTTCTCCTGAGAAACCCAAAGTCCTCTGGTCATCTTTCACCGAGAGTTGCAATTCAACGCAGCACTCTGTGATACCTGTTCTCTCTGGCCAGGCCGTTTCTGTGCCTTTCTTTTCAGCCACCTGGCAGTGTTTGGCTGACAGAGACAAATCCTGTCGGAAGGAGAGAGCCCTGTGACAGAGAAGCTCACAGGGCACGAGGACATTTCTATGCCCCCATCTTATCGTCATACCTGCCTTTCTCCACAGACAGGAGCAGCACCCAAAGCCCACTGAGCCGCTCTTGTCTACTCCCCCTCCTCCCACATGCATCGTATCATCTTCCCTGCCTTTCTCCAGGTAGCAAGACCCCAGCCCCTTTCTGACTCTAGGTATACCATCTGAAGTGCTACCTGGTCACTTCCCTGCCTTCTGTCCACTACTTTCTTCCCAACGCCATTGTCTTTCAGTTAGTAAGGTCTGCCCCCATCTTCTTTCCCTCTGGTAGGATTGATAAGGACACAAACGCACTGCATTTGAAACATGCATACACACACACACACACACAGAAACAAAAAGGGAAGTCTGTGATCCCGCGTTGCATTGTCAGAAATGCCACTGCGGTGGCATTTAATGGTCATGTCACATTCTCTTCCTCAGGAGTGTCACCACACCACACAGCAGGGGAGTGAAGAGCTTGGGCTCTGAAATCACACAACTTGGATTTGAATCTTGGCCATGCCACGTATTTTCCATTAGAAATGCCTTCCCCTTTGTAAGCCTCTCATGACCCCAGTAAACTGAAGAAAAGAGTACTACCTACCCACCATCTTGGGTTGTTGTGAGAAGTAAATGAGCTCTCACGTGGAAATAGGAAGCTCCCTTCCTGACACACAGAATGCTCAGTAAATGCCAGCTCTCAGTACTATCAGGGACAAGGACAGCCCTCTCAGGTACCATGTGTCACCACCAGAACTTGCTTTTTCCGTGCCATACGCCTGCACCCCTCTTCCTGAATAGCTGATGGTAAATGCAGTGTGTCACGAACATGTGCCTCATGTAAACACATCCTACTCTCTTGTCGGCCAGCCAGTGGGAACTTCGCTAGAGCTCCTGTGGACCCAGCACATCACTGGACTCTGGGGGAGGCAGACAGGACATTAAGAGGCCCCCCCTTGCCCCACAAAGAGTTTACAAGGCTGCCCTAAAAATCCAGTGGTAATAGACTTCCAGTTTAGTGAGATTTGGATGGGAGCCAGTGCCACAATTTTTAAAAAAGTGTTTTTAATTGAGTGATAGTTTACCTGGAAGAACATCAGTTTTACACCATCATTTCATTGCAGTGATTACAATCTCCTCCATGCAGCAACAGTCAGCAGTATTTACTTCCATTCCCTCTGGTTTTTATGTTTTGTTTTGGTGGGGGGATGTACCCAAAAGCACTCAGGAATACATAACAATTTAAACGACCACAGGGCACATTCTGCAAGCCTGCCTCCTGGCCACCAGCTCTTAGTCCCTCTCTTCCCATGAGTTGAGAGTTCTCAGCTGCTCCCTCTCTCTATGTCCCCATATCTGCCTCCATCTCTGGTGTCACTGCTTCTCTGGATAGGGTCACGCATTCCACTTGTGCTCTTCTCCCTTGATGGTCCTAGGGTCCTCTGTTTCTGGACTATAAGATTAACTACTCCCCTGTTTTTGTTACAGAACTTCTACCTTTACAGTTGTGACAATCACAGTTAGTCAGGATAACAACTACTTTTTTTGAATCATAAGAATCTTATCCCCATCTCTTTTTACCAGACCCATCTAGACAAGATGAAAACTATTCAGTGGGGAGTCATCTTTTCCCGCAGTGCCACAATTTTGATGGCCTATTGATTTCTTTTAAATGGCATCTGCTTTGGTCTTCTTTTCCAAGTAGCAGTACTTGGGAATCAGGAAAGGAGGAAATATTATTAATTTTCATAATGAAGAAGGACCCCAAATTCTTTGCCAGGCCCCTCGAACATATATCACTGAAGGCAGGCCCAGCATCCTTTCCCATTCCTGGCCTATTTCATAGGAAGACGTCATTGCCTATGGAAAATGGCTTCGACATGCCTTAAAAAACAGCACAAAACTGAGATTTCACAAGTTGGTGTCCACAGGAAAACTAGTTAATATCAAATGCTGCTGCATGGCAGAATTCCTGAGTTCATCAGAATTGACGCACAAGTAAGATTGGCTCGTGGCCTGGGCTTTTCTCGTGGGCAACAGATTTTATTATTACAACATTTAGGGATGGCAGGTACATTCCTCATCAGTTCCAGACACCACCCCATAGTTGGCAGTGCCCAGTGAGACATGTGACTCACATACCAGCCATTGAAGGGAGAGCTGGGATTGTTGGTCCGTTCAGCTATTTCCTAGTTGTGACATTTGGCAAGGCACTCATCTAATATAAGTTTCGATTTTCTTAATCTCAGAGGTGGGGCTGAACTAACTTTAAGATTCTTGGATGAGTTTCTATACATAAAGCATGTAGAGCAAGGCCTGCCTTTTAGCACTCAAGCATTTTCCTTTGAAAACATTTTTGTTGTTGATGTAAACTAGGGAGCTGGGAAACATTCCTCCCTCCCATTGCACTGCAGACAACAATGGAAATAGTGGAAATCTCTATAGCAAACTAGAAAACCCCAAACTACCCACTGCTAGCAGGGGAAGAGCAAGGGTGGCACTCTCTGGCAAGTAGTGAGATCAATTTTACTTATAAGGTGTAAAATGGAGAGTTGACATGAACTATTAGGAGCCCTGGTCCCTCCTGACAATATGTCTGGAGTATGAGAGATGAAGTTTGGCCATCCTGGCCTCCAAGGAGCACTCTGGCTGCACTTCTTCCAACACAGATCAGTTTGTTCTTTTGGCAGCCCATGGCACTTTTCAGTATTCTCCTCTAACACTGTAACTCAAAAGCATTGATTCTATGATCTTCCTTATTCACTGTCCAGCTTTCACATGCATATGTGGTTATTGAAAATACCATGGCTTGGGTCAGGCGCACCTTAGTCTTGTACTTCGGACATATTGTCAGGAGGACCAGCCATGAGAAGGATGATTTGGTAAGGTGGAGGGTCAGAGAAAAAGAGGAAGATCCCAGCAAGATGGATTGGCAAAGTGGCATCATCAGTGGGCTCAAACATGGCAACAATTATGAGGTTGGCCCAGGACTGGGCAGTGTTTCGTTCTGTTGTGCATAGGGTCGCTATGAGTCAGTACTGACTCGATAGAACCTCATAACAACATTTGTAGCCCTTAGTTATGGTGTGGCGCTGCGAGTAAATGTGCCTGATTGCCAAGTCAGTTTGAACTGCAAAGTCGGCGGCTGAAGCTCACCACCTGCTCCTCATAAACCCTATATTGAGTCGCTATGAGTTGGAACTGACTCGAAGGCACTTAAGAACAGCAACATTAGGAGCCCTGGTGGCATAGTGGGTTATGAGTTGGGCAGCAAGGTCAGCAGTTTGAACCCACCAGCCACTCCACAGGAGAAAGATACAAACAGCTTTTTGCTCCTGTAAAGATTTGCAGTCTTGGAAACCCTGTACCAGATCTCTTTGAGTCAGAACCGACTTACTGGCACTGGAGTTGGCTTTTTGGCTGTATATGATGCTATAGTGGCTGTCACAGCTCTGGGATGAAGGCAGGTTGACAGGTTAGCCCTCGCTGACTCCTGCTCCTCAGAGTCTGGCTCAGCGCAGCATCTGACCAGTGCCTTCCATGCCTAGCTGTGCACAGTAGCTAGAATCCACTCCCCTGATTGCAGTCTGCTCTGTGTTTCCTTCTCTCCCTCTCCCTCGTCCTCTCATGGAACCAGACATTGAAGATCCTTATGATTGCAAGAAATGCAGGATGAGTTTCCCCACTCTGCAGGACCACCGGAAGCACATCCATGAGGTGCACTCCAAGGAGTACCACCCCTGCCCCACATGTGGGAAGATCTTCAGCGCTCCTTCCATGCTGGAGCGGCACATGGTGACTCACGTTGGCGGGAAGCCCTTCAGCTGTGGGATCTGCAACAAGGCCTACCAGGTGACCGCCAGTCCCCAGTCTACTCTCCATTTGCTCGTCTGTGGTTCCTGTGGTTGGGGCTTATGGGTCAGATCTGGTCTCCAAGATATGCTAGTTTGGTTTGTTATCATGAAGAATGCAGTTTGAAATCATTCTGATTCTCTCAGGAAAGCTGGTCAGAGGGAAGCTTTAATTGGAGCAGAGAGTCCTTACACCCTGTCCTCCCCAGCGTCAGCCGTGTGGTGAGCTGAATGCTGCTTCTCCCTGTGGAGCCTCACGTTCTGTAGGACCTACTGACCCCCTGTGTCCAGGGACACAAAAGTGACAATGGGGATGATAACACTATCTGGAATTACCTTGTTTAGCACAATGATTGCTTTTTAAACTCCCAGGGAATGGCTTTGCTTTTTTACCATAGAATTTGGCATATAATTCAAGGGAAACCCTGACTAAAACTAAAGAGAAGCTACATCTCTCAGACACTCTAAAACCACAAAGAGAAGAACAGTCCTTGTTGGCGCCTGTAGGCTGCAGGTATAGAGAGCAGCACAGAGACTGATGGCAGCTCAGCAGAGACTGAGAACTGACTGCGAGGCCTGTGCTGTTGGAACGGAGTCAGACCTGGAATGAGACTGGGCCTCAGGAGACTGGGGAGCCTTCAGGAGGAATGGCTGTGACCCCAGCAGGAAGAGAGCACTTGCTTACAGAACAGGGACAGCGCACAACCCCTTCTCCAGCTTTTTGCTCTGCTCTTCCCCAGGGCTTACAAGCTCAGTGCTAAAGAGCACAGACACTAAGTCAGAAGGGCGGGGTTTGACTCCGCACCCCAGGTCTGTGCCTCAGTTTCCACCTCACTGGCAAGGTCAGAGCACCTCTCTGAGGAGTGAATTTCTAACGCGCTCAGCTGAGTTCTACTCTAAGGTGGTCTTGTGATACCCAGCTGTCTTATTTCCACAAACACTAGCATTCTCGCTCAGTTTGGTAGGTAAGAGCATGTGAGTTTAGACCAATAAGCTTACCTAAGAAGGTTTTTCTCTCTCTCATGAGCGATTACTGAGCTTATGACATTCTTAGCTGCTAAGCTTTGCCAAATTCTTTGCAGCAATTGTCTGGTTTGTGGTACCACAATCGGACCCACCACCCTGATGTGTTTGCTGCACAAAATCATCGATCCTCCAAGTTCTCATCACTCCAGTGCAGCTCCTGTGACAAAACCTTTCCCACCACCCTTGAACACAAGAAGCACATCAAAGCCGAGCATGCAGGTGAGGTCTGGGTACCACAGGGAGGGCGCACCCGCGTATGGGAGGGAATGACTTGGTTAGATGCCCTCCTGGGTCCTATCCAGAAATCCCAGCTTGCAGTGCAATCATGCAGCGATCCAGCCAGCACACCCAACAGCCCATCACCAACAGTAACTGGAGTGGCAGTGCTTCTTAAACCTGGAAAGCAAGCAGCGGACACGCCCGCCAGCTCCCAAGGGAGGCATGGTCCACTGTGCGGTCAGAAGGGTGTCAGCTGCCATGGCAGACAGGCCTGAGGAAACCCTGACTCCAGCACCATGACCCTAGCACGTGACTTCTCTCTTTCCTGAGGGGTTAATATGGGCCTTGCTCGTGAATTTGGGGATCACCCCTGGACTGTTAAGGTCGGCAGTTCAAACCCTCCAGCCACTCCTCAGAGCACTATACTCAAGGACACTTAACAGCAACTAATAACAGCTAGCAGTTATAGAGCACTGCCTGATACAAGGCGCTGTGCTCCTCACCAGCAGTCTGGCACCAGATCCGGTGCTCATCCCACTGCACTGCATACACAGATAGATTATGGCACGTGGTAGGGACTCCCTGCCCTGGTTCTCTCCAGCTCATGAAACTGTTCCTTTTGTTCAGTCCCCCACTTCTTTCCTTGTGTGTGTCACAGATGTGAAATTCCATGAATGTGACAAGTGTAAGGAGCTCTTCCCCACGCCAGCTTTGCTGCAGGTGCACATCAAGTGCCAGCATTCAGGTCAGTGGCCCTTCCAAGATGCTCCTGAGCTGCCTGGAGGAGAATCCCACCCATCACCAGCATTCATGACTCTGCAGCCCTGGCTGCCTTGTGCCTCAATTTCCTCATCTATGAAATGGGAACAGTCCCATACAAAATATGTTAGCGCACTAAAACACTTACGGCCTGGCACTATTAAGCATTCTTAAGCATTAGGTGTGATTATCATTATTATTGCTGTATTTAAGGAGCCCTGGTGGCGCCGTGTTAAGTGCTCAGCTGCTAATTGTGCTGGTTGGAATCCGCCAGCTGCTCCGCAGGTGAAAGATATTGGAAGGCTGGTTAGAAGAAGCACCCTTTTTAATGAACCACTAAGAAAGAGGACAACTGCTGCCAATTAAGCTACTTTTACATCAGGGTCTGTAGGTGACTCTGAGAGTTAGCTTACACTCAGCTGACATAGATTTTTTATCCTCTCACCACTCTTGTGTGCATACGTTAAAAGAGACAACAGACGAAAATAAAGTGTTGAAAATAAGAATCCAGCTTCTCAGAGTAACTTTCCATTCAGATTGCCAAAATGTATGTTTTTCCACATTTGAGGGAGCTTCAGAAAGTTCATGGGGAAATTCCACTACCTGTCAGTTCCGTTGTTCTGCGAGCTTTTGGAGGCCCCTGCATAGTGTCATAGTCTGTACCAGCCAGAGCACTGCTGCTGGATCACATAGGAAAGGATTGCATCAAAGACCATTGCCTTTGGTCTCTTGCACATTTTGCAAAACCGTCTACTTTTGATTCCTGCTTTGGGGATGTGGCTAAGCATGTCTGATTCAGCACTTCCCAAAGCCATTTCCTTCCTGTGAGTTAAAACGTGCACCACTCCTGGCTCAGGGATTTTCTCCCAGGTTTTAATACTGCCACGTTTGATGGTCATGCGTGCACAGCCACTGGTGGTTACAGCCGACTGTCATATAGACCATAGCAATTATGAGATACCATTGATCCCATTTCAGAGATGTTAAAATATGCTACTTAGAATTGATGAAATACAGCATTATCAGCACTGTTATCTACCATTGAATAATGAGCTTCAGCAGAGGCAGATTTCATGACAGTCATGCTCATGATGGTCTTTATTTGCTCAGAGGCCCCTGACTTGTGTGGGACCCTTCCCAGGCTCTGCACCTAAGTGGGTATTTGTAATTTCATATGGTTTTCCCTCAGGAGGACCCCACACATTATATGAGCTTCAGGCCCCACAAAATCTGGTCCTGTCTCTGCACTCCATTCTCACTCCATGCTCTCACCTACACCTGCTCTTGCTTCCTCCAGACATCCCACTCACAACCCGTCTCCTCTGTGTCCCCACCTCTAGGGTCCCAGCCATTCAGGTGCTTGTACTGTTCGGCCACCTTCCGCTTCCCCGGAGCCCTGCAGCACCACGTCACCACGGAGCACTTCAAGCAGTCGGAGAGCACCTTCCCCTGCGAGCTCTGTGGGGAGCTCTTCACCTCCCAAACCCAGCTTGATGGTCACTTGGAATCTGAACACCCAAAGGTGGTGGGCACCGAAAGCCAAGCAGCAACCTCACAGGTGGTGCAGGTGATTCTGGGGCAGCCTGCTCAGAGTGTAGACACAGGCTTCCTTAGGCTCCTCTAGAGTTGGTGGTTCCAGCAGCCAGGTTCTCTCGTTGGGCTCTTCAAGGGTCCTTTGAATAGTGCATTGATAGTTAGGAGCATAGAGTGAGAGAGTGAGTCTCTCTGGACCTCTCCCGACAGAAGATTTTAGTCCTTTGGAGACTACATCTGAAATGGCCCATAAGTAGAGGGAGCCTGAAACAAGAACTTCCCAAAATGGAAGCAGCATGGTTGTTGCTCTTCCATCTCAGGCTTCTCAGAAGCACTGTGTGGTGAGGTGTGGAGAGGCAGGAGACCCTGGAGAAAGGGGGAATCACTCAGTGGAGCGAGGGGTGAACTTCAGCTAAAGCACTGCAGTAGATCCTCTGGGCCAGACATGGTGCACCCTTGGACATGCCTGGGCCTCTCACCTTGACCTGGGTGAAAAGCTCACCTCTTCCCACAAAGCCTGCCTCTGCCGTCTTCTCCAGAGTAGGCGGGGCAGTGATCTGTGGTAAGAGTGGAGCAGAGCTGTCAGCGGTACTGAGGTGGTAGTCAGTGGGCCTGTCCTGCCATCCAGTTCCGTCGATGAGTCCTTTGTAACCGAGCTCCTCAGGCCTCTGTGGGGAGTGGAGGAATGTCAGCTGGGTGGGGCTCCAGGTGACCCTCCTGCTGCCATATCAGCCAGAGGCTCTGCCGGCTTTTACCCTCCCTTATATATTAGGGTCCTGGGAGTGTGGTGACTCCATATGATAAGCACAAGGTCTGCGGTTCAAGCCCACCAGCTCTTCAGGAGAAAGGTGCTTTCTGCTCCTACACAGGGTTGCTATGAGTAAACAGAACCTACTTAAGGGCACTTAACAACAATATATGTATTAGAATTCTTGGTAACATGTCCTGGGTATGGGGTTGAGTAAGACTTCATTGCATTTTTTTAAAAAAAGAAAAAGATAAGGGTTGGAATCTCTTTTCTTAGATAACTTTTGATTGCACTTCACAGTTGACCCCTTGGTAGTCAGCTTCTGCGTTTCTGCCCACTTGAGTCTAGTACCTTGCTCTTTGCTCCTGGCCAGTCCTCCAGAACCAGAGTGGCCATGTCCTCTGGGGACAGGAGCATCAAGCTGTCCTGGGGCCCGGGGGTCAAAAGCATCAACTTGGAGATTCAGGCGGGAACGGGTGTGCTAAATCTTGGAATAGTTCTCACGAGATGGAAGGTCCTAGTAAGCAGATTATGGGGATCCGTAAGGAACATATTTTGACAGTGGTATAAAGAAGGGGTGTCTGCCTTGCCTTGCCAGCCTGGTGAGGCAATCGATGTATGTGTTGATAGAGGCCACAGCTTGTCCACCCCTCTCCCTTTCTTCCAACTAAGCTCAGTAGCCAGGCGCTTCTAAGGACAGCTCCCAATCTGTCAAGCAGTCTAGGGACACTGTCCATGGCAAACCTAGGCTTCCTGTTCATGTATCAGTGCACGAGACCAACTGCCTTCAGTAACAGTTCTTCCCCATGGCACTTACCAGTGAGTGCACTCCTCGAGGCAGGAAGGCCCACCGTATGCACTGGTGTGTAATCACAGAGTCCAGGCACCCTGAGACGGCACATTGGATGAAATTATAGCAATTTAGTGCACAGTTATTCAAATTGTTTGCCTGCCCTCTCTCTTGCATCACTGCTGTGTTAGATTTGCCTTTTTCCCATTAGGCACATGTAATTGCTCTCCTCAGGTGAAAACATAAATACCATCATTACAGCCAGAGATAAACCCAGGGAAATTCTGGGAAGCTCACTTGTGGACACTGCCCAGAGCAGCTCTTGGTCTTTCCCTTTCAGGTGATCCAAACTCCGGAGCCGGCGGTCCCTGCAGAGCAGGTGATCACTTTGGAGGAGACCCAGCTTGCTGGGTCCCAGGTGTTTGTGACGTTGCCAGATGCCCAGACATCTCAGACCCCTTCTGAGCTTGTGGCAGTGACTGTGCAGGACTTGCTGGATGGGACTGTGACCCTGATTTATGGGGAGGCCAAGTGAGTGGCTGCTCACCTGCTCTCAGAGGGGTCCTGGGATGCCCCCGAGAACACCACGCTGCAGCTTGTTCTTTGCCCTTCTTCCCCGGCACCAATCGGAATGGCTCACTTGGAAAACCGAAGCGTCAGTGTTCTCCTAAAACATTGGCACCAATACCACTGCCCTCCACAGCCACAGGAGGCTGGCTGGCTGCTCCCCCACTGGCCTGCAGCTTTGGTCTCAGTGTCAGATGAAGTACCGCTCCCGAAATGTAGGTTCAAACAACAGTGGCAACTAGAGAGTGTGGTGTGGGAGCCCTCAGTGTGTAGAGAGGCCGTCACCAGGGGAGTGTGGCCCAGCGCACAGGGCTGTTGACACTGCTACCTCCTGGGCATGATAACGAGAGAAGGACCAGCACATCATCCCCCAGGAGCCCAGCCTTCCTCACCTCTCTCATACTCCATCTGCCTGGGCCCTCCCTTCGTCCAGTCTCTGTGCCTAGCATCCCTCTCACTCTCAGTGGCAGTGAGACAGGTAACAGTGTGCTAGCACGACAGGAAGCCCACGTTGCCACACCCAGTGTCCATACAGTGGGCCCTTCCCAGACAGAGCAAAGTCTCGGGAGTGTTTCTACTGGAAATATTTCATGCCAGACCACCCAGTCTTTGCCTTTCTTCATCGTATCAGGCCCTGAAGGCTCATTTGCCAGGTCTGGCAGCCTTGCTCCCTGCCTCTGGAGCATTTAGCAGCCTGGTACCCTGCATGTGGGGTGGCAGCCATGATGGCTTCCAGCTTGTACTCCTGCCCTGGGCTTCCCTGCCTGTGGTGGCTTGCTGCTTTGGTCCTCTCAGGTCACCACTGTGACGGCCAGTCAGTGGTCCTTGGGACTCTGAATTTTACAAAGCTTTTTCTCTTTAGTTCCTAAAATATAATCTGATAATGAATGGTTTGTGGGATCCATTAGGAAGTGCAATTAGATGGGTCTGTGTTCCTGCCCGTTAGAGGGAATGAGTTGCATTTATCTTCTTTCCCTCCATGCCAAAAAGTTGACGTTTGCTAGGTGCAATATTTACACACCAAGCAGGACTCCCTTGCACGTGGTTAGCTTGACCCGGGAGTAGTGCCCAGTTTACTCACGTACCACATGCCACACACTGTCAAGAGAAGAGTCCACCCCTTCTTCTCAGTGGTCCGCTGAAGGTTAGGTTGGGTTCTGGTTGGAGCTTTGATTGCTGCCACAGTCAGCTTGCACTGCAGGGTGCAGATGGTAGGGCCTTCGCACTGCGCAGTTTGCTCTCCTACTGGCCACCAGTTTCATGGCCCAGCATCCTCAGTGAGGTCCTCAGGCCAGTGAGCCTCAGCCAGCTGCCTGCCCTCGTTCTGATATGCAAATCACCTCAGCCTGTCAGTACTGGGATCTTCCCATCCCCAAGCAAATGAAATTTTCAAAGGAGAGTCCGCCTCAAACACTGAAAAACTGACCAGAAGATGGTGCTCAAACCTTTAGGACTTCGTCTCCATGGGATGCCCTCACCAGTTCTGCCTAGGCTGTGTCAGAGCAGGAGGGCTCTTGATCTGCAAGTGGCAAAAGGGGACTGAGTCTCCTTTTGGCACCAAATTGTTGTTGTTGTCAGGTGCCATTGAGTCGGAACCGACTCATAGCGACCCCATGCACAGCAGAACGAAACAATGTCCAATCCTGGGCCAACCTCACTACCGCTGCTACACTTGAGTCCATCAATGATGCCTCCTGGCCAGTCCATCTCGTTAGGGGTCTTCCTCTTTTTCTCTGACCCTCCACCTCACCCAGCATGACATCCTTCTCCAAATAGAACCCTCTTAAAGATAGTGCTGTGGCACTCGCTTAGAGGGTCTTGATGGCTGGCCCAGCAGATAGGCAGGTTGGGAACTGTCATGTCACTAAAATGTCTTCCAGCCAAAAAAATAAAGGAACATTAATTGCCAAGGGCCGGTGAGGAACAGTGATTTTTAGAATCCTGCTGAATAAGAAAGCTGTACATTTTAACCCCAGGTTTCAGACCCTTCAAGCCAGGAGGGTCTCTCTGGGGTTTCTGACAGAGACCTGGTCTAGGGCAGAAGCCATGTTGTCTTCCAAACTCCCTGCCTGGGAGCTGGTGTGTGGAGAGGGAGGGGATGGGAAGGCCGGGCTGGCTGCTGGGACAGTGCTCCATGGGAAGCACAAATCCAGGCTGCTTTGCTGGTTCTCAGCAAGATGCGTACAGCCCACCCTGAGTTTAATGTGTGCTCTGAGGGAGCCTCTTGAAGAGGCTGCATTTGCTGACTGAGGTTTTATACTGTTTGCTCCCCAGAGAAGCCCAAGAATGATTTTTATTGTAGGAGGACTTTTTCCAACTCTGCTTGGCCATTTTATTTTCCTCTCTTAACTTCTGCCTGGGAGACCTTGGAAATTGCTGCCACCGAGGACGTTGCTAACGTTATTTCACCTCATTTGCTTCCATCATAGTGGTGCCCCATTTGCCTCAGTCCCACGAGGTGCTGGCCTCCTGACCTGTGGGCTCAACTCCGGCCTCTGCTGTGGTCTGGAGGAATCTGAAGGCTTCTGGGAGAACTTAGGGATCTGGTTCCATGGAACCCGAAACCTTCTTTGCTCCCATAGCTCATCAGCCAGCTGATGAGGGGAGAAAGGCAGGCAGAGTCTAACTCCAGGGGGAAATGGCGTCAATTATGAAACAGGATTTGCCCCTCACAGGTAAGTGACCCAGCACACAGCCGATTCAGAGCAGCATAGGACAATGAGGCTTCTCTAGGCTCAGGCCAAGAGCAGGACCTGAATCCAGAGGGACAGCAAAGAGGCCAAGACAAGGGTTTTATTTAAGCAGTCTGCCTCCTCTCTCAGAGCTCTGCTGGGAAAATCTTGAGTCCAGTGAGTCTGCAATGTGAATACTGGGTTCCTGTGATGATTCAGGTCCTCTCTGCCCTTCCCCCAGGCCCCAGAAAGTACAGCCCCCTCATCTGGTAGATGGGCTGAGGACTGAAATGGAGTGGGGCAGACAGATGACCAGTGGGAGGCAATACCTGCCCTCTGCATGGTGGTCTACACCTCAGGGGCAAGGAGAAAGATGGGATGCAGCCCAAAGAGTTTCCTCTTCTTCCCCAGGGGTTGTCGATGGTGCCTAATGCCGGTGGAGGCCTGTGCTTTTGTGTTTGGGTTTTAGCAGCGATATTCTCTGAGAAGCACCAATTGGCTAAGGAATGGAGGAGATGGTTGGGGAGAAAAGCAGTGCTTCCATCCAACTGGGGCTGAAAGAGGCAGAACAGTGATAGAGGGAAAGCGAGGCTGCTCTCACCCTCCCAGAGGAAGAATTCAGCTGCCTCAGCCATGCTGTGCTTGGCCCTGTGTATCCCAGGGATACATGGGCAGAAGGTAGAAAATGGGAATTCAACACACACACACAAATTAGGGGGTTGAAAGGAGTGTCGGAGAAAGTTGGTAATTGTTTTGTTGCTATGGAAAACCTTGGGGATGGTAGGACTTGGGCCAAGAACTCAGTGGCTACACCTACGACTTGGCCTATAAGGGAGACCAAGCCGGCTGTACTCTGGGGGTTACAATGTTGAGGAAAAATCATCCCCATGACTAATTTAAATCACTCCAAATTGTGAAAAATGTTCATCATTTCCTTTACCAAGGCCAGCCCCATCTGCTACCACCCATAGGCAGGACAACTAGCCAGTGTTGGATGCTGTAGAAATTTTATTACAAATCATTATTCATACTCAACTCATACTAATCTATGTAAATAAAATATGTACTTTGAAAAAAGTTATGCTTCCGAAGTTTTCAGTGGGCTGTGATGTTGTAGGCATGTTTTCTCTGTGGTCCTGGGCTGTCCTGTGGGATGGGCTTCAAAGGCCTGGTTTCCTGGGGCTCATTGTGTGCCCCCAGGTGGTGTAAGCATGGGGAGGGGTGGTTTCCTTGGGGGGCAGTGTTGGAGAGCTCTGGCTTTGGAGTCTTCCCCTGTGACCTTGAATGAGCTCCTTCCCTCTCTGAGCTCCCTCCTCCCAGCTCCCATCTACACAACAGGGAATTCTTGTACTTAGCCCACAGAATCACAGTAGAATTAAAGGCCTGGCTTTAATGAGTTGAGTGTGGAAGGGGTAGCTGTTAGAATAAAGCCCTTCAGATGCCGGCCAGCCATTCCCTGCCTTTCTGGCATGAAGACAAATGTTCCTTCCTGCACCCCTGTGTGTCTTTTCACCTATCTTTATGTGCCGTCTTCCTGTCCTATCTCTGAAGCCTTTCTCTGGAACACCCACCCCTTTTCATTTATCTGTTGAATCTTAACTGCTCCCAAAGCACAGAGTGCTGAGCCGAGAACTCAAAATAAGCAGAAGCCTTTCCCAGTGAACAGCTGAAAATGTCACAGTGCTAGGAACCAACAAGGAAACGAGAGAGGAAGGCATGCAGAGAGCACATACATGGTTTCTGCAGTGAGAATCCGGCGTCTGAGGAGGGAGGCACATCACTCACGCAGAGCTGGACGCCAAGGTCAGTGGGCAAGGGTGGGGGGTGTCCATGCACTTCTGTCACAACAGCCTAGCATAGCATCAGTGAACGCTTCTCTAGAGCCCACACAGGCCTTTAAGAAGGAATGCCCCTCTGCCTTTGAGGTGTCTTTGCAGAGAGGCCGCGTCCTCTTTTGAGTAACAATCCTGAGTGTCCCGGGTAGCCTCAACATATAATTGTCACATAGATTGGCTCCATGAAGGTGAGTATGTGAGGGTCTGGGCCAGGACCAGTAGAGGGTAGCTGGCTGAAAGACCCACAAGCAGTGGAAAAAGCAAGGACTTGGCAGCTCCCCAACTTCACCTCTTAGCTGTGTGCCCTTGGGTGAGTTGTTCCTAAGTACTGATTGTGAGAGTAAATGTTAACATTTGTAAAAGGCCTGGCAGAATAGAGACCCTTCGTGAATGACAGCTGCACTGTTTGTAACGCTTTAAACGGACTTGGGGAAAGAGGGCAGAGAGGGGCAGGGAAAAGG